ATTTGGAACATTTATTAAGTGCCTACTATGCACCAGGCGTTGAGAGTAGGAGCACAAGGAGCATTAAGGAATACTGAAGAGCATACCTCCCAGTGGGTCAGATAGCTGCTGTGTTCTTGGGTATCTCTTCCTGTATAGAACAATGCCATATTAATGCATGTCGTATGAAGTGGAAATGGATTTTGAATCCTGGATTTGAAAATATGAAATGGACTTTCTGGAGCCTTAGACTTTTAGAAACACTTATTGGGCCTCCATTTCTTTAGTGGCCCCCTTCCCCTCCACATGGAAAGCTAACCAAACAAAGCCTTGCTTTTCCTTCTGAGATCCTTCTAATCAATAAACACTGAAACCTAGCTATATGGAGAAGTAGCCCCCGAGGAGGGCAGGACCTCCCGTGGGATCTGCCACAGGACCAGCATGTTGGAACAAGTAACTATGGTTGCCAACAGCCCAGGTCTGGGCTGACCTTTCATCCAATGTGAAATAAGATCAACATAACTTTATATTGCAATATCCCCGGCCTCTTTCTGAAGGGGGAAAAGAGCAGTCATTGCCCTCCCCCAAATTGTACTGTGTAATCTCTCGCAAAGTCTTTGTCTATCCGAAGACATGGACTTCTTTTGGCTGTTCAGATGGTCTCTGTGCACGGTTGTGCCCTTATACGGGTTTCTTTCTGAGTGCCCCATTGATGACAAAGGCCAGCCAGTTTAGACTGGTGACTCATGAAGTCTCGACCTTTTAACTGTGTCCTTGCAGAGGGTTGGCCAACTTAGAGCCTCACTGAGCCCACCCCACCCCACCCCACCCATGCCTTGGTATGGACAGAGCTTTCAGTCTGGGAGCAGTCTGCTGAGCCTAGGATTACAGGGTAAGATGCACCTTAGATCCATGCAGGGAGAGAACCCAGGCAGTCAGCAGCAGTATGAGAAGAGCCTTTCGGCCATGTGAGCTGCATGGTTGTTACATCCACTCAGGCAAAGACATTCATCACACGTGGGCCAAGCTGTGGGCTTTCTCCCAGATTGCTGCCACTCATTCATGCCATGGTGGGCAGATCACTTTGGACTTCTCTAGGCCATGAGGCTAACCCACTCAACCTTATATTTAAATATTCAAATTTTTAATATGTACATGGCTCTCAAGTGCCACTAAACACACACACACACACACACGTGCACATCTTACACTGTTAGGAAAAGAAAGTGGAATATAAACTGAGGCTGAGAGAATAACAGAAAGGGCAAAGACACCAAACCATTGAGAGCAGGCAGGAACCAACTGAAAGCAGAGCTCAAGGGCCCATGGTGCCCGGGCTACTTGGGGATGGATTCCTCTCCACCCCAGTCCACCCCAGTCCGGCAGGAGCTCCAACCTGCAGCACCTTCATGGCAATCCTAGGCCGTGTGTTAGCACAGAGAGTCACACCTCAAGTCGGTGGTAGGTTTCACCATGAATGCTAGTTGAAAGTTAGGAGATTGTTGGTTGCTTGTTTCTGTCCTTTGCTTCTAACCTGAGTACTTTATGTCTTTTGTCTTCTGCAAAGCCAACAACCCCCAAACTTGATAGATCTCAAGTTTGTGACAGTCCCGACGGACTCCATTCCATTGCATGCACTCATTTGGGTGAGCATGGCTTTGAAGCTGCTTCTTTCCAAAGGAAGGTCATTCTCCCACTTCGGTCCTCTCTCCCCAACAAAGAAGCTCAGTGATCAGCCAAAGGGACTGAGAAACCAAGATTACGGGGGGAGGAGGGTGCCACATGGACAAAACGGACCCACACAAAACAAAGCAAGGCATAAGCAACTGGGGTAGCTACTGGGGGTGCAGTTGAGGCAGTGTCTCTGTGCTGAAGCCAGCGGTGGAGCACCAAGTGACAGCTTCTACATCAGCAAAGTTGGGGGTGGGAACATAGAAATTGTTCAAGCCGAAGAAGGGATTTCTCTGGAAGTCATTCTGGTATTGTAGTCAAAGAAGGCGGATGTGCGCATGTGGACCCACTAACTGGTCTGCTCGGTTGCCTCACATTGCCCCAGGGCTCTAGCTGAAGCCTGTGGGGCCTTACAATGGCACCCCATGCAATGTGCACAGTACCAGTTCTTGGAAAAGGGTTACAATGCCAGGTCTTTTCATGAGCTCTTTAGAGGCCAGTGCTCAGCACAGTGCCTCGCTCGTTGTAGGAGCTTCAGAAATACTCGTTGGATTGGACTAGGTTGGATTGGTAGAACCGACCAAGGTCAAGGTCCAGGGCAAGGACATGACTTGGCAAAGGAGTGCCTAATCCCCCCCCCCCAATTTTGTTTTGAAGTGCAAGGGATCTATGTGTTCTCTGGGCCAGAGTCTTGCATGCTAATGGTGCTCACTTGAAGATCAGATGGAGCTGGTGCAACAGAGGGTCCCCCCCTGAACAGCACGGTGTGGTGGCAGCCTTTGGAGTCCTTGGTGAACAGGACGGACACTGTCATCCTTGGATTGGTTCCCACCTCGCAGCTGAGATAAAATGGCAGTCACATGAATGCACCTTGCCTGGAAGAGTCTGAGTTAGGTTGCACTTAGAAGTCAGAGCTAGTCCAGCATCCCGGGGAAATGGAGACCTTCTTTAAGATGATGCATTTGTGCTTGGAACCCTCCCTTTGTGCCCCTAGAGCAACGGCTGGAATTCAGGGAGGGGCTGCATGCACCAAGTACCTCTGGACACCATTCAGTAGTTTTCTTTGGAGATTTTTCAGCCTAATAGTGAAATGTAGTTGAGATGCCAAGAAGGACTCCGTCAGCAGAATGCATGCTCCTTGAGGACAAAGGCCTGTTTTGTGTTTGGTCTTGTCTCCACCTCCTAGAAAGCAGTAAGATCTGGCTTTGGGCCCTTCCTCTGATCCATATTGGCTGTGAGACTCGTGGCCCCTCGGTGCTCAATGGGAGCATTGATGGAGGAAGCTCCCTGCTCCAATTCCTGTCCCTAGTACCTAGTACACAGGGTCATGCAGGTGCTAAAGAGACGCTTATTGAACCGAACAGAGAAGCAGGCCAGGCAGGTCTTATTATCCCCATTGTAGAGGTGAGGACACTGAGGCTTAATGACTTGCCAAAGTGCATGAAACCAGCAGGTGTCTGTCATGATAATGAGTTTAAACCAAATTCAGGGCCAGAGAAGAGATAAGTAGGAAGTTGAATTAAGCTACTTAATAATGTGCAAGGAAAGTTAATGATGTTTCTGTGCAGTCATGTTGTGATGATTTAATAATGGGGAGTAGAATATGCTTTTGTGTTCTTAGCATCTGGTTCTGGAATAGACATTTTGACTCTGAATTTTGTGATGGGTCTCTGCTTTGGAACATAACAAAACAAGATCCAGCTGTGGCCAGAGGTGACCTCTGCTGATGCGTTCTCTGGCTTACAATGTGGTTCCTGGAAGAAACTGACTCTTAGTGTAGGACGGGAACCTTGAGCCTTCATTTCTCCCAAGCTCCATGCAGACGGGCATTGAAATCAGATCACCTGTCATCTCTTATGTTCTATCATGACCCCAGCCTGATTGATGAGAACTTGATATTTGCCCACATATAAGGCCCCAGGGTTGAAAAGCAAAGTCCCTACTATGCCCAAACTGTGATCTGACTGACCAGGTGTCAGGAGGGCCTAAGCCCCTGACCCAGCCACACAGCCCCCTTGGAAAAGAATGGAGTGTTGCCTGTTTCCTGATGCCAACATCATCAACAGAGTGAGATCTAGGACAGCTGTCCCTGGTTTATCAGCCACAGATAGTAGCAAGAAAAGGCATCTCTTCCAAAGTTGTACACACAGCCTTGGATACAGGGGCCATAGATGGGGATTTTGTGCCATCAAACAGAATGGGAAAGATAATTCTGAGATCCGTTGCTCACAGTCAATTTGCCTGTTAGGAGCACTGTATCTGGGATGTGGGAAACCTTGCTACTAATAATGACACCAGGGTCATTGGCAGAGCATTTGTGAATTGGGTTTGGGGGCAGCTGCTACTCCGGACCCCCCAGAGGAACTGTAGGCCCAGGGCATGTACACATGCACGTGCATCCAGGCCTTTCACCCCCTGACTTCGGCGGAGACTCTGAGAGCACATCCTTGGAGTTCTAAATTCCCTGGTCCATTCTGGTGCTGGGTCTTCCTCTGCATGCAGACCTTTTGTTTCTCTGTTCTGTGTGGAGCTTCCTCAGCTGATTCCGCTGCAGCTCCCCAGGCTAGGATCCCTAAGTGCGCTCTCTGTGTTGGTGTTGTGGGTTTGGGGATTCTGTTGTTGTTTTCAGGAAACAGTTAATTAAAGTGTCAGATGCTCTTTGTCAGATTTTGATACCTTGGCAAGGACAATGTTTCTCCTTTCCTCCCAAGACTGTTTTTTATCTAGGAAAAGCTTTTGCTCGCAGTGATTCTGAAAAGTCGTCACAGTAGCAATCATGGCGTCCGGCAGAGTTGCTGCAGTCATCGTGTGTCAGTCTCTATCCCAGCTCTGATGCCAGCACATCCAAAGGGTATCATAGGAACTTCTCACTTCCACACAGCTTGGTGAGAACAAAGGCAGGCTGTCAGCAGTGGCACTCTGCTGGGCAAGATGGGGAGAAGGTGACCCTGGGCTGCCCTGAGTAAGCGGCTCAGAGAGTCAGACTCAGCCAGTGGCTGGTTGGATTTTGCTCAGGAGCTCCTGTGCGTTGGGCTTTTCTTATTTTGGGGGAGGAAGAAGAGAGGAGCATGAAGGCAGGAAAAGCAGTGCCAAAGCTTGGAAAGTGCAGATGAACCCTAAGCTCTGGGGCTTCCTGGTGAACCCCTTCCATTAGTAGCAAAGACGAGCTCATCATCTATAGGTAGAAAATGGCAAAAACAAAACAAATGCACCAAACATTGAAGCAATAATGAAAGCCAAGTGGGTGGCTCTGAAAGCAGGTGGATTCAGAGCCCCCTTCTCCACCCTAGCCTCTAGCCAAGAAAGACAAACCTCCTGCCCACATCTAGAGCGGGCGGCACGGGCTCAACTCAGAGCCGAGTTGTGACATGCTCTTCCTGTCCATCCTTCCATCGATTCATAAGCAAGTCACAAGCCTCCCCCCACGAGTCAAACACATCCTCTGTGGAGTCAAGCAGTTTGGAATTGGATGTGCAGATGCTAGAAGAACAGTGGAGAGAACTGGAGGACGCAAGAGGGCATTCACTGCTCTGCCCAGAGGCCCTTGCACTAGTGCTGGGGGCACACGCCCCCCCACCAAAATCCGCCTCTGAGAGGTTGCTCTCACTTTTTGAACAGCTAGCCTCTCCCCTCTCTGGATCCATCTGGGAATATCTGCTGTCTTGCCACGTATAGCGGGTCTGAATGATTCCATCTGAAATCGTATACATTGGCTCCGCGCTGGGCTCAGCCAGATGCCCATTCATCTTGGAGAACAAGAGACCCAGTCTCTTGAAAGACTCTTTCTTGGAACTTGACAGTTTCTGGAATGGGTTGCTCATAAAGGAGTGCTTACTGGGCCCGCTGGTTTTCGGCCTCACTTGAGGGGTGGGGGCAGCAGCTGCACCCCCACTACTTGTCTTGGATGTAGTCTTGATTGGGGCTGACGTGCCATAGTCCCTTTTTTTGCCAGTGAGGTTGAAAGAGACACTCTTAGATTTGGCCTTCTCCCCCCCACTGCCATCATTGGCATCATCCTTCTGGGAGATTTCAGTGCTGCTTGTGGAAAAGCTCCTCCGCTGGGGTTTGCGATTGCCCAAGAGGTCAAGCACCTCATACCGGAAGCTGGAGATGTCCTGCTTTAACTCCTAGGGAGGTAAGAATAGGCACCATTTGTTGAGCCCTTTGCTAGGCAGCACCTCCATTTTACAGAGGAAAAGACACTCTGGGAGGGGGGAGATGCCTGGCCTAGGCTCACTAGGCAGACTTGAATTCCCAGCCTTCCTGACGCTAAAATTCTATCAATCTTTGAGGAGTCTTTTGAGCTCGGTCATTCTCAGGGTTGGCCCTCACTAGCCAAGGTAAAATTGGTGCCTTTTTGTGTCTCTTATTGGTCCCACGTGTGCCCTTTCTGGTGTCCACCTTCACTAAGGTGTTAGCTTAAGGCTCTGATCCCTTCCTAAGGGTATCTATATTTCAAATGGGACTCAAGAAGACAGAAATAAATGCATTTAAGGCTCAAAGGAATGACTCAATAATGATAGAATGTGATAGGTGGTGAAATGGATGTTTTGGGGGCAGAATGGAGTGAGCTTGGTATTGGACAAATGCCCCCCTCCCTCTCTGTGCTGGATGGTAGAGATTTCTGAGAGAGGCTGTGGATTCTAGCTGTGCTTTGCTGTCCACATAGGTCGTATTCCCCTGCCCGAAACCTCTGGCTACAGCAAGACACTGGGCTCTAGGAGCCCACCGTTATCGGTGGGCTCAAATTACCTTAAAGTTTTCTTCCGTTAGTCCATCATTTGTTTTGGAACTTCTGATCATGGCCGCAACATATCTTTTCACCAAATTCCGAATCACTCCCTGGAACATAAAGCAGAAAGTGCACTCACTTCCTTCCTCTTGCCTAGCTAGCGCTCATCCTGGGATTGTCTGCTACAGAATTCAGCAGAAATCAGGTATAGTGTATTTGCACTGTAATATTGTGACTAGAGAACGTCTAGAGGGACCCAAGTCTGGGGGGATGGATGGTAAGTTCTAGCAGTTGGGGGCTTTGGCCTCTCAAGTATGGCCAGAAGGGGCCCTGAGTTATAGCTGATGAGATCTGGCTGGTCTAGTGGCTGGGAGGGGTGGGCAGGATGGGGAGCAGCAGGCCCAGGAGGTGTGCTTGGCGAGTTCTGGGGGGGGGGGTTGCAGAGACCATGGATTATGTTGTGGAATGTATTATTTTTTTAATTTGGGTTTTGTGTCCTTGGTGTCTAACACAGTGCCTTGAACAGATTAAGCACTTAAATATTTAATGGATTGGATGGGATTGGTGTGTATTCAGAGATTTAGAGCTTATAGGTCACCTAGTGCAATCCTCTTATTTCATAGAAGTGATTGAGTCCCCGAGAGGGGAAGAGGAGGGACTTTGCTGAGGTCACACAGGCAGTAAGTGGCAGAATTGGCATGTGAACCCAGATTCACTGGCTCTTGAAGGGCACTGCCTAGCTATAGGCCTTCTAGAAAAGTGCTATGCCTTCCACGAGGGCAGGGACAATGTCTTATCTAAATTTGCTATTGCTTCCCTTCTCTCTCCCCACCCAGTCGCTGTCCAGGGTGCTGATCAGATGACACCGAATCCCCCGCCTTCTGGCTGGATGTCACCTATATTGCCATATTGAGGTATTATTCCCATTGGCTTGTCAGAGCAATCCTTGTGGTCTGAAAGTCCTTCTCTGGGCTGGTTACTGCTAGTGATCCAGCCTAAGGCTATTTCCAATTTGGTCCTCAGTGGCACCATCCTTTATGAACCAGCCTCATTAAATCAGAAACTTCTAGGGCCTCATCCTTTTTGTAGCTGCTGCCACTGGCTCTGTTTAGATCCAAGGAAGTTGTTACTCTGACACCAAATGCCCATGGAACATTCTCCTTTCCTAAAATTATCCAGGGCATTGTGGAAGCAATGGGCAGGAAATGATGTCTTTTCTGCTTTTCTTGGTTAGGAGGCCAGGCCCAGTTTTCACTTTTGGTTTGGACCTGGGATTGGATCCCTGTAGAGAACTTTCAGCGTGTAAATGCTTTCCACTGATGCAGATAGGGAACATATCTGGACTATAGAAGATGTTGCTTCCAAGCTGGAGGAGCTGGTCAGGTGCTCTCGCCTTAGTGCCAGATGTTATAGGGCCTTACCTGGTAATTCTGATTTTGAATCAGGCTGTCAGAATGGCGTTCCTAGAATCACAAATGAACATGGACATTACACCAGCAGCCCTCCTCCCCCATGCATTGCCAAATTCCTCCCCAGGACCAAGGAAGACAATAGGACACAAACTCAAAGTGCTACAGGCCAGAGAGAGTAGGTGCTGCCTGGGGATAGACAGGGCACCAAGACCCCCCCCCCCCCCAAGGAGCAGCCTTACAGTGAACATCTTCAGGTTCCCATGCTTCTTTCCATTTTCCGCCGAGCCCCGGTTGGCGTAAAAATGCCTGTGGAACCATTGGCCGAGGTAGCAGAAGGACTTGGGGCTTGGGATGATGTTGAAGGGAGGTGGCAAGGTGGCTCCTTCATCAAAATAACTCATCCAGAGCTTGGTTCGGGCAAATTTCCACTCAATATCTGCATGATCCTGTGTGTGTGAGGGAGAGAAGCCTAAGGGTTAGGGAGATGATCCTGCAAAGAACAACAGTTTCCCTTTTTGTACTTTCAGCTGCCCTAGGCCATGTATGACCAACTGCACAGTCACAAGACCCTAGGACCATAGATTTAGAGCTCCAAGTGACCTGAGGAATCATCTAGTCCTCCTAGGGGAGAAACCTGGGGCTCAAGGAGGTTAGCTGATCCACCCAAAGTAGTGAGATAGCCAAGCTAGGATTTGAACACAGCTTCACTAACTCCAAAGCCAGTCTTTTTCTTACTATGTCATTGTGGGGGCTAAGATCCATGTGGGATTCGTAAAAGGAAACATGTTAGTGTTCCATAGAAGGGAACTGACCACGTTAAATCTCCCAGAATCCTGGATGACTTATGCAGATGGGAGAGGTTACAGTGTGACACTTCCTCCCTTCACCCAGCCCTGAATTGACCTAGTCTCTTCATTTGCTGGGTGTCTCATCTTGGAGAGTTCTGTGACTAAGCCCATTTTAATTAGTTTCTTGGGTGTTTCAATATTTTGAGAAAGTGGCATGTTTGATAGGCCATGTGTAATGGCTGGGTTTGTCAAGAGACAAGGAGCTCATTAGTTGGAGATTGTATTTGTGTATTTCCAAAAAGTAGACAGAGCCCCAATCATGTGTTGGCATTCCACTGGGCATTTGTCCCAGCCTAATATCCATACTGTAATTGTCTCCCAGGCTAAGAACCATTGTCTCATAAGATAACAAGGGAGTGAGATGAGGAGAGGAGAAATCAAAGCCATTTTCTGCCAATTGCTTTCTTCCTTATTTCAAATTCATAACCAATTCTAGCTCCTCCAGAAAGTCTCAAGATTCCAGGAGTCAGGGTTAGGCACTATCATAGTAACTAAGATTAATATTGGTTTGCAAAGTGCTTACATCATCCATTATCTCACTTGACCCTCACAACGACCCTGTGAGCTATCTCTGATAGGTTTTCAGATTAGCAAATTGAAGCGCAGAGAGGTTAAATGATTTGCCCAGGAACACAAGGTTAATAATTGTCAGAGGTTGGAGTCAGCACCAGTGAGTTCTTGCATTCCAAAAGAAGGACCTCGTCTAACACTTGTGCACTGAATGTAACCTGGGTTATCTAGCTGCTAAATAAAAAGGAAACATGCCTGGGTCTGCAGTTCCTCTTGTGTATGCAGAACAAACCAGATCGAGTCATCTGCAGAGACAATGTCTTTCCTGCAGCCATAGGTCTTCTAGACCGTGGAGCCCACCCAGTTTCTCCTCCCAATAAGCTTGCTCTTCTAGGATCAAGTGATTTTTCTTTTGTCATTAGCATGTCAGTGTTCAGGAGTGCACAGAAGGCCCACTGGAAGAGATCAGTGTTGGACCATTTGTTCCTTAGGAGGCAGTTTCGTTTAGTCCCAAGTAGAAATAGGGGTGAGTGAGTGATACACAAACCTTGGCCTTGCCATGTTCTAGCTAGGATTCTGGACTTTTTATTGGTTAGATGAACTGGCCACAGGTTGGAATTTAGTTTTGTCCTCTTTCTTTCTCCAAACCTGTATTTTTCTCTCACTTCTCAATTTTCCTTTCCCTTTTACTCTTTTTCTTATGCTTCTGTTTCTTACTGTTCCTCAAAAAGAAACAGAAATTGAGAAAAGTCTCCTTTTTATCTCCTATTTTCTCTCTTTTCTCTAAATGAAACAAAAATTGTCCCTCTTTTCTCTCTGTTTCTCCCTCCTTTTCTGTCCTTTTATACATCTGTTTCACCCTTTTCCTAAGAGAAACAGAAGCATCCACTAGTTGAGTGACCAGACTCAGAATAGTGGTTAACGGTTCAGTGTCAACGTGGGAAGAGGTGTCCAGTGGAAAATCTCAGTGATCCATATTTGGCCTTGTGCTGCTTAACACTTTGTTCAGTGATCTAGATAAAAATATACACGGTATGCTCATGAAATGTGTCGATGACACATAGCTATCAGGTATAACCAACACCCTAGATGATGGAGTAGGGATCCACAAGGATTGGGTTAAATCACTAAATTCAATCTATTAAGATGAAATTGATTAGGGATAAATGTAAAGTCTTGTACCTTGGTGTAAAAAAATCAACTTTAGAGGTATGAGATGGGGAAGGGGACATGGATTTTTTTTCAGAACAATGGCTTTGAAAAATATCTATGGATTTTAGTGGACTGAAAACTCAGTAGAATTCAGGGGTGTGAGATATTGTGATCAAAAAATATCATGGGACTTTGGGCTGCATTAATTGGAACAGAGCCTCCAGAATAGGGAGATAGCAGTGCTAAGGTAATCTGTCCTCGTCAGACCCCACCTGGAGGTTAGTCTCAGCTTCATGTTTTAAGAAAGACATTGCTTCTTTCAAGAAATTATCAAGGAAAATTGCCGTGATATTTTAGAACCAGAGGGCAAAATAGAAATTGAAAGAATCCACCGATCACCTCCTGAAAGAGATCCCCAAAGGAAAACTCCTAGGAATGTTGTAGCCAAATTCCAGAGTTCCCAGGTCAAGGAGAAAATATTGAAGGTAGCCAGAAAGAAACAATTCAAGTATTGTGGAAACACAATCAGGATAACACAAGATTTAGCAGCTTCTACATTAAGGGAGTGGAGGACATGGAGTATGATATTCTGGAGGGCAAAGGAGATTGGATTACAACCAAGAATCACCTACCCAGCAAAGCTGAGTAGAATCCTTCAGGGTAAAACATGGTCATTCAATGAAATAGGGGACTTTGAAGCATTCCTGAGGAAAAGACCAGAGCTGAATAGAAAATTTGACTTTCAAATACAAGACTCAAGTGAAACATGGAAGAGGTAAACAGGAAAGAGAAATCATAAGAGACTTATTAAGGTTGAACTGTTTACATTCCTGCAGGGAAAGATGATATTTGTAACGCATGAGTCCTTTGTCAGTATTAGGGTAGTGGGAGGGAAAAAATTATATGTATATATAGACAGACAGATAGAGGGCACAGGGTGAATTGAAGATGAAGGGGTGATGATATCTGGAAAATAAAATTAAGGGGTGAGAGAGGATTATACTGGGAGAAGGAGAAAGGGAGAAGTAGAATGGGGTAAATTATCTCACATGAAACAGACAAGAAAAGGCTTTTACAGTGGAGGGGAAATAGGGGAAGGGGAGAGGGAATGAGTGAATCTTATTCTCATAGGATTTGGCTTAAGGAGGGAATAACATACACAATGGGGTATGGAAATCTATCTTACCCTACAGGAAAATAAGGGGGGAAGGGGACAAGAGAGCAGGGGGATGATAGAGAGGAGGGCAGATTGGGAAAGGGGGTAATCAGAAGCAAATACTTCTGAGGAGGGACAGGGTCAAAAGAGATAATAGAATAAACGGGGGATACGATAGGATGAAGGGAAATATATTTAGTTTTTCACAACATGACTACTATGGAAGTGTTTTGCATGACTACACATCTATAACCTGTATTGAGATGCTTGCCTTTTCATTGAGAGTGGGTGGGGAGGGAGGAAGGGAGAAAATCTGTAACCCAAAGTTTTAAAAACACATGTTAAAAAATAAAAAAATAAAAATAAATTTATAAAAAAAGGACATTGCTTAGTCAGAGAGGAGAGCAACCAAGACAGAGAAGGGTCTTGAGTACCATATGAAAATGAATGTTTGGCTTGGAGAACAGATGACCCAAGGGGCACAGGAGAGCGGAGTAGGGGTTAGGCCTGTTCTGTCTGATCCAAAGGGCAAAAGCAAAGGGCTTCAAGCAAAGATTGGGCACCACCTCATAGTGGGGCTTCCTTTCATGTATGGATGCTGAGGTCCCTTTTGACTCTCAAGTTTTGTAATTCAATAGGAATTTCTCTTTCCGTTTTTTTCCCCTTCCCCTCCCTTACTGTCTGTGTAATCCTAAACGCTTAACCTGGTCTCTATCAGTTTCCTCATCTGGAAAATAGGGATCACAATAGCACCTACTTTGCAGGGTTGTTGTAAGGATCAAGTGAGCTACTTGTTTGCTTGGTTTTTAAGTGCTTAGCATAGTGCCTGGCAGAGTAGGTGCTTAATAAATGCTTATTTCTCTGTGGTTCTCTTTTCTCTTTCTTTTCCTCTCTTTAACTATTTTTCTTTTTCCCTATTGTGTTATCCAATCAGAGTTGATTGTCCCCCTCAGAAACACCTACTTTTTGAAGGGTACATAAACTGTGAGCCCATTACCATGATTGTCTTTGGTCTAAGAGATGGCCAAATGACCATCCTTTTATTAATAATGTGCTGGCTTTATTTTTATTTTTTTATTTTTTATTTTGAGGCAATTGGAGTTAAGTGACTTGCCCAGGGTCACACAGCTAGTAAGTGTCAGGTGTTTGGTCTGAGGCTGGATTTGAACTCAGGTCCTCCTGACTCCAGGGCCTGTGCTCTATCCACTGCACCACCTAGCTGCCTCATGTGCTGGCTTTATTAATAAAATATTTGAACTACCCAGAAGCTACGTCTCTTGAACCTTTTTAATCGTCACAGTTCTGGCTGACCATGAAGAGATCCGAGCCTTGCACTCTAGATTCTGAACAAGGAGCTCCCTTCTATTGGGCCCACCTGGACAGCTCTCCACAAGGAGAGGTCTCTGTTAGGACCCTGGTGGTGACCTGACTCTTCCATTTACCAGTAAGTAAATTTCATCTGGGTGAGTTCATCTGTTCTGTGTCTCTTTATCTGTTTGGAATTCTGTAGCTCTCTGATTTTTCCTCTCACTAGCATGGGGTCCTCTTGAACAGTCTTAAGGGGACAGACTAAGACTATTGGGCCTCTGCTGAAGAGAGCTTTGAAGAGAAGTCCTGTTTTTACATTGAGTTTTTGGGGCGTGGGCAGAGATGTGGAGAGGTGCCTGAGAAATTTGAGGATCCACTTTGGGATCAGAAGCCTGACCATTCCAGTCCTCTTACTAATTTTAAAGAGTTAATAAGTAGATGTGGCCCAACATTTCTTGCAGGTAAAAGTTTC